TATTTGTATAAAAAAAAAAAAAAATTGAAAAATCGTTTCAAAAAAAATTTTTTTTTTTTTTCTTTTCGTCCCGCGCTGGATTTTCAAGGTCAAGTGTTCTAGAAAAAAAAAATTTCCAGAAATTTCCAGAAAGTTAAAATTTTAATAAAAAAAAAAAAAAAACGAGAAAAACGTGAAAAACGAAGGTAAAATCAAACAAATCGGTTAAAAAAAGAAAAACGTCGTCGTAAATAATATTTTTCAACCTTCGTCTGGAGAAAAATGGCGGATTTTTTTTTTTTTTTGAATATTTAATATCGAGGGCGTGGAGGTGGGTAAGAGACAGGAGGGAAGAGGGAAGGGGAGGGAAGAGAGAGAAAGAAAATATGAAAATTTATAACTTCGACCTATTATTCGACATTATCGAGATTTACTTTTTTTTTTACCCCTTTTGAATTTTTTTTTTTTTTTTTGTTAAAATTTTTGAAGAAAATTCTGAAATTATTATTATTATTATCACGGTAAATTTTTTAAATTTTTTATTGATAATCTTAACCATTATTATTATTATTATTTAACAAACAAACAAACAACAAAAAGTACAAAAAGAAACTAAAAAAAAGAAAGAAAAAATTCTGAGGGAAACAAAATAATGAAAAAAAAAAAAAAAGAACTTTCTGGAGAATTAAATTACTTTTACTCGATTCCATTAAACTTAATGGAAAATTTATTAAAAAAAAAAAAAAGGAAAAAAGGAAAAAAGGAAAAGAAAAGAAAACCGTAAAAAAAAAGAAAAAAAAATTTTTTTTTGGAATGTCTTCATCCAAATCAACGACAAAATTTTTACATTCTCCAGTAAAATTTTTTGTTTGTAGAAACTACGACATTATTTATTTATTTTTAAATAATAATAATAATAATTCACCACAATGTATTCCAGTATAAAAATTTCATAGTTCCAGAATTTTTTTCGAAATTTAAAAAACGGATCAATCATTCCAGTATTTCGTGTATTAAATTCCTTTGAGAATTTTCTCAATTTGATTTTTCGCTCCAGAAATCGCCTTTCATCGATTTTAAGTCATTCACACACACACACATTCAAAAACTGACTGGAATTATTATTTCCGTTGAATAAAAAAAAATTCATTTCCGGTACGATAATAAACAAACAATTATTTATAAATTTTCCATGCAATTTTCCTATGACGGAAAAAAAAATAAATTTTTAGTTTTTCGGATAATTAAACGAATTATTTTCGGTTAAAATTTTCTATAAGGGTCAAATTGGGAAAAACGATGTTAAATATCTTATCTGATAACTCGGGTCATTATATTTTCCCCATCCCCTTAAATTTTTTTTTTTTTTTATTGATCGAATCGAGTATAATAATAATAATGATTACTAAGTTGACAAAATGATTTTTCTGAACGTGTGTCTCCTCACGCCTTATCGTCATTTTCCCCCTTTTCGAAAAAAAAAAAAAGAGGGAAAAAGAAAAAAAGGTGAAACGTCATCATATGGGAAATAAATAAAAGAAAGAAAAACCGTTAAATTTTCTTTCCCTCAAAAAAAAAAATTTTTTTTTTATCCAAAAGTTTAATCAACCAAACTGGTAGACGACTAATTTTTCTTACAAACTACTCTCCTCCCCCTCCTCCTTCTTCTCGAGATAAAAATTTTATTTGATGACGCCTAAAAAAAGTATACAGAAGGTTTTGGGGAGAAGAAAATTCTTAGATTTTATCTCACTTCGAAATTTTCCTTTTTTTCCTTTTTTTTTTCTTATTTCATGTGTTATATCCATTAGAAAAATCGTACGTCTTATCGGATTTTGCCTCTTTTTTTTCCCCTCTTTTCCCTTCCTACGACTCCCCGAAAAACTTTTTATTTTCTTCCAACAAAAAAAAATTTTAATTAAAAGAGAAAATTTTCAAATCGTTTCCGGTTGTGTGTTTGTGGGTAAATTAAAAAAAAAAAAAACAAAATGGCGGACACATATAAATAAATAATTTTTTTTTCTTTTTAAATTATAGGATGGCGAGTGATGCTAACATCCCTTTCGAAAAAAATATGGACAGGAGTTTCGTTAAACGTCGAATCAGAAGATGTCGAACAGGTAAGAAAAAAAAAGAAAATTTTAATTTAAAACTAAAAAAAAAAAGTTTTCCAGTCATCAGTAGTAGTACTAGTCAAGAACACTTGATATTCTCTCGTGTTTTCTTTTTTTTCCCCCTCTAAACTTTACCCTCTTTTTTTTTTATTTTATTTTTCAAATGTTTGACATCCTGATAATAAAAAAAAAAAGAAAAAGAATTTTCTTTTTCTCAAAACTCTTCACATTTTCTTTTGAGTTTTCGATATTTGATATAAATTTTATGTTTTCCCTCTCGATTGAATCGTCATCATAAGATTGTATTACAAATAATAAAAATTTTTTTTTTTTTTCTGGACATTTCTGGACTCTTTTGGAATAAACAAACAGACAAACAAATGGGATTTTCCACAAAAAAAAAATTTTCTTTTTCTCTCTCTTTATTCAGTTTGTTGAAACGTAGAAAGGAAAAAGGAAGTGAAAGTTTTTAAAAAACCGGAAACGAATAACAATAAAAGAAAAAAAACGAGATTTTTAAAAACCGGATGTTAAAATTGTTAGGGTGGTAATACTGTAAAGGCGGTTCTCTCTCTCTCTCTCTCACCAGTTAAAAATAATTTATTACGTTGTTTTATATATATATATAAACTTTTACAATTGTTTCTCTCTTTTTTTTTTTTTTTTCGTTAACATTTGTTTTTAAAAAAAAATTTTTCTCCATTTCATTTAAATTGTCTGGAATTTTTTTTGTTAGTTTATTTATAAAAATTAAAAATTTTTTTAGGAATTAATCGGGAAAAAGAAAAAAGAAAAATTTAAATGTAAAAATAGGGATAGAGATTGGATTATAGTTAATTACGAAACGACCCTTGGTTGTCACCCTTTGTGGTGGCTGTCGGAAGGGATTCTTGTCTGAATTATTCATGGTTAACCATTTACCATTGTCCTTTCTCTCTCTCTCTATCTGCTTCATCAATTTTAATATTGTCATCATTATTAAACAAAATTATTCTCATGAAATAATTATCCTTTTTGCCTTTTTTTTTGCTGTTGTTGTTGTTGTTGTTAAAAAGCAGACGAAGTAAATACGTCGTACCTATGAAACCGTTCAAAAAAACATCAAAGGACCAACAACCTTCCACCCATAACTGAAATTTTACATAAAAAAAAAAAAATTAAAGAGAGAGAGAGAAGTTTAAATAAATATCAAAACTGTCGTAATAAAAACATTTATAAGGGTATAAAAAAAAAAAAAAACGTTTAATCAGGTTCGAAAAATGGGGGGAAGGGTGGAAAAGGGAAAAGTAGCTTCGTATATAAATAAGAATTCTCAAAAGACTAAGAAAAAAAAACGTTGAGGGATTCCTTCTATCCATCCATGTTTTATAATCGATATTCTACTCTCTCTCTCTCTCTCTCACTCTTATTCGATTAATGTATTTCCCTTTGTTGTTACGCTACAAATGGTTTCCCATGAGATTTTCACACTCGTTATTTTTTTTTTAAATTTTTTTTAAAAAAAAAAAAAGAAACAGAGGGAACAATCCGGTTGTTGTTCTTCTTCTTATCCGTAAATGATTGTCTGTAAACATTTATAAATGGTGGATAATATTGTTTTTTTTTAGTCAAAAGGTTATATGAAAATAAAGAAAATAACGGTTTTCTCACAATAACGATTCGTATACGTTTATTTTTTGTGGAAATAATAACGTTAAACTGTTTAAAAAAGGTTTTTATCATACGTAAAATATAAATATTAAGTTTAAAAGTAATTTTTTAACGATCTGCAATGATTCCAAAACCGTCTTCTGCTTTTTTTCCCGAAAAAAAAAAACAATTTTGTATTATTATATAGGTCAAACGGAAATAATCAAAACAAAACAATCGTGACGAAATCGTCAAATACGAGTATTGCCAACTTAATTTGATTATGTTTATCATTTCATATCGTAGTCATAGAGTAAATAAACTTGAGATTTGGTTTATACGTTATATATAGTTAATGGAAAATGGGTGAGATATAATCCATCGATTATTTTCCTCGCGTAGAATTTTCCTCGTTTTTTTTTTTTTTTTTTCGTTTAAAAAAATATAAAAAGTTACGAAATAAATGTATTATGTTAAATAACTTTTTGGAGAAAAAGGGAAAAAACTGGAGAGAAAATTTTGTTTTTTTTTGGAGAAATTTTTCCAGGAAAAAAAAATAAACAAAGAAAATACGAGAGAAACGAAACAAATTTTTTTTTATATAAAAAAATATTTTCTCTCTCTCTCTCTCTCACGTGTTTTATTTTATTTTTTTCCCCCTCTCCCCGTCGTATTCGGTTTAGATCGTTCTGGAAAAATAAAAATTAAAAAAAAAAGGGGAGAAGGTGGAGGAAAATGGGGGGGGAGGGTGGGAATTAATAAACGAGTTTGAAAATTTATCAATCGTTTCGAAAATAATTAAAATAACGAAACTAATAATAAAAAAAAAAAAAAAAACGTTAAAAATTTACGTGCGAGTTTTTAAAAAAAAAAAAATGGAAGGGTATGGAAAATATGAAAAACCGGGGAAAAAAAATTTTCCTCGCACTCTAACGCAAATTAAAAAAAAGGAAAATTTTTTTTTTTTTGGTTCGTTCGATTGTTTCAATCGATAATTTTTTTTTTGCGTGTTTTAGTTTTTAGTTTTTAAAATAGGAAAAACGTTAAAAAGCGAATTTTCCTCCAGAGCTGAGAGAAAATGTTCACCTGGGTCAAAACGATCAATACAACTTCCTTGAGTAGTTTATAGCTTTACCACGTTTAAAGCTCAAAGCTTTTCCAGTTTTTCCCTTCCCTCCCCTTCCCTCATCCCTTTTTTCCTTTCAATTTAACTCCGCCTTATATTTTTTATTTTTACAATTATGTACATAAATTTTTTTTCCCTTTACGTTAATAATAATGATAAGAGTCTAATTTTAACCGAAGAGAAAAAATTTTTTCATGACGTTTAATTTGTTTTTTTTTGGTAAATAATAATAATAATTGAAAAAAAATCCAGGAAAGAGTTTCTAATGAATAATTTCCGTTTTTTTTTTTTTTAAATTTAGAATTTAACATTACCTAAATTACCAGTACCTGATTTGGAATCCACTTTGGAAAAATATTTATTGGCGGTTAAACCTATAATTAACGAATCACAATACGATCAAACGAAATCTTTAGTTTATGCACTCACAGGACCTCATCAAAATGGGGTAGGACCCAAAATTCAAAAATGTTTATTGGAAAGAAGAGAAGAAAAAGACAATTGGGTAAGTAAAAAAAATTTTTTTGTCCTGGATTAAATGTCGAAAAGTAAATCGATAGATGAAAAAAAAAAAAACGAAAATAGAATTACAAACGTGAATTTTCGTTCGATTCCGCCGCCCCCCCGTTCCCCCTTCCGTTACCTCCCGTTCCACCCTTTCGTTACCCCTTCCTCGCGGTGGATAAAAAATTTTTTTTTTTTTTTGCGACGATTTAAACGAAAAAAAAAAAAAAAAATGTTTCCAAATGTAGTCGTCGTCGTCGTCGTCGTTAATATTCGTTTCCCTATTATTATTATTATTATTATTTATTTTTCACGGGATTTTTCCGATGTATTTGGGGAGTCAGGCATACGAATGGTGGTTAAACGACATGTATTTAAATGTTCGACTGCCATTGCCGATCCATTCGAATCCAGGTATGGTTTTACCACCGCAAGAATTCAAAAATGATAAAGACATGGCAAAATTTGCTGCCGTTTTTATACGGGGAGTCGTTGATCACAAGGAAAAATTAGACAGGTACGAATCATGGTACCACCCACATGCGACATGCTTTTTTTCGAACCTACGAACGCGTTTGTTGTTGTTGTTGTTGCAGAAAATCTTTACCCGTCGAACGTGCTCCGTCACACGAAAAAGGTCAACCCTTGTGCATGTCACAATATTATCGTCTTCTGACGTCATATCGTGTTCCCGGAGTTAAAAGGGACCAATTATTTTCGACATTGTATCAAGGGGACGGTTCGACCGAACACATAATCGTCATTTATAAAAACCAGGTAGCCATATTATGTTGTTTGCACAAACAACTCACACCAACAAATGCACTTATGTTTATATAATCAACACTTGCATATAAATCTAGGGGGCCTGTTATATCGATGACGAGGTAAGAGTTTAACGTGTTTTTTACCCACCCCCCTCCCTTCCTTCCTCTCCCCCCCCGAATACGTTCGATATTCTCGTTCGTTCGATTCCTTTCAAAATTTGAATTTTTACAGTTGTATTCGTTGAGAGTGAAAACGGCGAGAGGTGAGGGTGTCATAGACAAATTATCAATCGAACAAATAACCGGTGAATTGTTGAAAATTCTATCGACCCCCATCAAAACAATGAGACCAGTACCCATCGGTTTGTTGACGTCACAAAAAAGAGATATTTGGGCGGTGAATAGAGAAAATTTAAAACAAGGTTGGTAAAGGAAAAAAAAAATGTTCGGTTGGAAAACGACTCCATTTTTTTTTTTTTTCTCTCATAATTGTCAATTTTCCAGAATATCAAAACGTTGATTATTTGGAAATGATTGAAAAATGTTTGATGATTGTTTGTTTTGACGATCCCCTACCTGAAAGTTTCAATTTACAAACTCCTAGAACGGAAACAAACGAAATAAATAAAGGTTACAAATGCGGAAATAGAGACGAAACAAACATGATGCATCAAATGTTAGGAGGCGGTGGAAGTTTATACAATTCAGGAAATAGATGGTTCGATAAAACGTTACAAGTAAATATTATTATTATTATTATTAAAAAGAGTTAATCACGTGAGTTTTTAATAGTAATAAATAATAATAATAATAATAATAATAAGGAAAAAGTCTAGAAAGTTTTAAAAAAATTTTTTTTTTTTTTTTAGCTCATAATAAGCAAAGATGGAGTTTGCGGTTTTTGTTATGAACATTCACCGGCCGAGGGAATCCCGGTTATAAAATTAGCAGAAGATTTATTTAAATTATATGAAGAAACGAAAGGGAAAATATTAGAAAATGACGGTTCGACCGTGCCGGATGATATGCAAGCGAATAAATTCGATTGGATCGTTACGCCGGAAATACAAAAAAGTATCGTGGAAGCAGCAAAATCCATAGACATGTACGTATGACATTTTTGCTTGAAAAGTTCGGGTAATAAGAGGATTAATAATTTTTTTTAAAAAAATTTTAGATTAGTGGAAGATTTAGATTTTTACGTGTACAGATACGTTAATTACGGTAAAGATTTTATAAAATCTTGTAACTGTAGTCCGGATGCTTACATACAAATGGCTCTTCAACTTGCTTATTATAAACTTTACGGACATTTGGTAGCAACGTACGAAAGTGCTGGAACAAGAAGATTTTTATTAGGAAGAGTCGATTGTATAAGATCAGCAACTATGGAAGCACTCTCATGGGTACAAAGCATGACGAAAGAGGATGAAGAGGATGAGGGAGAAGGGATAGGATCGAAAAAAGTTACTTTTTCATTACTCGACGTAAGTGTCATCCTACCCCCCCTTCCCCACACCCCCACACCTTTTTTTTTTTTTTTTTTATAAAATTTTGATGAAAATTTTTGTCGATTTGTGAAGGATAAAAAAAAACTCGAACTCTTCGATGCCGCGATGAAACGTCAAGGTGAAATAATGTTAGATAATATATTGGGTAAAGGAATTGACATACATTTATTGGGAATAAGAGAGATGGCGTTGGAATCAATGGGAACTAAACCGGAAATGTTCGACGACGAGACATACGCGATCGCAAATCATTTCGGTTTATCCACGAGTCAGGTACGAAACGATAAAATTTTCTTTTTTGTCGACGACGATGGAATTTCTTATTATAAACGTAAGTTTTTTTTTTTTTTTTTTTAATTTTTTTTTTAATTTTTGTTTTATCCGTGGTTCAGCTCGCAACGAAATTAAATATGTTCATGGGTTACGGACCTGTGGTACCTGACGGGTACGGGGCATCTTATAATCCGCGAAACGATCAAATAATTTTTTGCATATCCGCATTTCATTCGTGTGCAAAAACGAGCGCATGGAGATTTGCACGGAGTCTCGAACAATCTCTGGATTCAATGCAAAAACTCATGAATTCCAGAGAAATCGACTTGAAATAAAATCCCGGGTTTCTTAATTTACCACACTCAACGTCGCTATTCGCCCCCCGTATCCCCGTTTCCCCGCCTGCTCCGACATTTTTTATACGTAAACTCGAACAAACCCAAAAAAAAAAAAACTTATCCGGTTTTGTAATTTATACTCCGTCATATAAAATGATGAAATAGCTCAAATGAAAACATATCATAGCTACGTAACAAAACATATCAATAACCAAATATTGAATTTTATCGTTGTTTGCTTGTTGTTGTTAATTTTATTATTATTATTATTATTATTATTTGAAATTTATTACTTATATACACAAACAAACATATCGTTTATAAACTAATAATAATAATAATATTATTATTATTATTCGCAATTAATATTGTTTATATTTAAAAAAAAATATTTATTTAGAGACGTAATTTTAATAATTAATTGTTTAAAAAAAAATTTTTTTTTTTTATATAGAAATGTTAGTCGCGTTAAAATTATATATAAATAATATATATTATTATAATATATATATAAATTGTTAAATTTAAGAAATTTAAATAAGTTACCGTAGTATTAAAAAAAAATAAATAAATAAATAAATTTATTGAATTAATAATATTTAAGCATATCATAAGAAACATATCAACCTGAATACGAATACATATCATTAAATAATAAAAAAATTATTTATTATGTACATATATACATAAAAATATATTAAAAATAAGTTATTTACACGAATATAAATAAATAAATATTATTATTATATTATTATATTAAAAAAAAAAAATTTGTTTTTATTTTTTCTCGGGGGTTAATATTTATTCACGCGTACGATTTATTTATTTATTTATTTTATATAGAATTTATTATTATTATTATTATTATTATTATTATTATTATTATTTTTATATTAAATTACACATCCCATTTGTCAATTGTACCGTCTCACATGTGATTGTTATCAATTTATCGTATAAATTATTAAAAAAATATTATTATTATTCATATAAATATATATTATTAATATATTGTAGTTATAATATAATATAATCGTCGTACGTGCGTGTGTTTTCTCGTCAATTTAAATTGTTTCGAGTTATTATTATTATTATCGTGTTTGTTTGTTTGTTTGTTTGTTACATACTTAACATATCTGATAATATTAATTTTTGTTAATGAATTTTTATATATATATATATATATATATATATACATTATTATAAAAAAAGTATTTATAATGTTTCGCTTACGTAAAAATAATTATTAATTATATACGGATATATTTTGTTATGAAAATTTATATTCTCTCGTTGTTTTTATTATTATTATTATTATTATTATTATTATTATGTTTTGATTAGATTTACATATATATAATATTTATAAATATTATTTTCCGTTTGTTTGTTTTGGTTGTTTTTGTTTTTTTTTTTTATTCGATCGCTTTCTTATTCGATGTGTGGTAACATATAGATTAATAAATAAATAAATATCATTTAGAATTTTAGGTTGTAGCGTGCTATTCGACTGGGGTTTTGATTATTAATAATAATAATAATAATAATATAATATTACGGTTGGAATTTTAGTATAAACGGCAGAAACCTAATAATGGTCAGGTTTAAAAAAAAAAAAAAAAAACCCGCCGTCGGTTCGCGTTAATCGAAGTATTATTATTGGTATTACTTATAAGTATTGCAAATAGTATATACATAAATTTTAAGGGGTTACATAATTTATTATAAGTTTAATGAGAAAAAAAAAATTCTGTGTAGGAGCAATATAGAAATTAGATGATGCGTAGGCGCGTAAAAAAAAAAAAAAAACGCGAATTTAACATTATAATTTTAACGAATAAAAAAAAAAAACAAAAATTATTTGTATGTATGTAATAATAATAATAATAATAACGAGCTTTAAAACGAAAAAATAACGCATACTTATCATACGCGTAGATAATTTATTTGTTTGATATTTATTTATTTATTATTATTATTATTATTATTATTCGTTTCGGTTAATTTTTAATTAATGAGCGCGCCTAAAACCCGTTCAATCGATTCTCATTAACGTGATGATGAAAAAATAATCGTATTAATAATATATATATTAAAATAATATTATTAAAGAAGGGGGAGGAGAGGAAAAAAATAAATATATTTAATGATTAGGTAGATAGATATTAAATAATAATAAAAATTCGTTGCTCTCTCTCTCTCTCTCTCTCTGCCCCCCACTTCCTCCTCCCCTTCATTTTCCAAACATTTTTTTGTTATTTCGTACGATAAATTCATCGTAAATTAAAATTAAAAAATTTTCTCAAATGATGACGTCATAAAAATATTTTCGTGATTATAACACACGCACACACACACACACACACGCGCGCGAAAATAAAAGTTTTAAAGATATTTTAAGAAGAAAAAGAAAACAAAAACAAACATGAAAAACAAAAACAACAAAAACAACAAAATTACATTAAAATGCCTTCCATAAAATTATTATTATTATTATAATTAATTAATTATATACATAGTTTGTCATTTGCCAAAATAAAAATAATTTATTATCATTATTAATATTAATATTTATATATTTTATTCTGATTAAAAATTATATAAATACGTTTAAAAAATTTATTATTATTATTATTAATAACATGAAAATATTTGTAATTGTGCGTTTTTATTAATGAGAATCATTGAAAAATTGGTTTAGGTACGCGTTTCTGTCTTTAATTGTTTTTAATTATTATTATTATTATTATTATTATTATAAATTTTCACTGCGGTATAATTTTTTTTTAAAATGATTTTATCAAACGAAAAAAAAAAATAAATTAGGTTTTTCCATAATTGTTTTAAAAATTAAAAATAAAAATTAATAATAATAATAAAAATTTTGATTGATTGATTGATTTATTTATTTATTTATTAATTTTTTTTTCTGTGTCATGTTGTCAAATTTATATACTCTTTTTAAACTTGACAAACTAACTTTTTGATTATTATAATGATGATGATAATGACAACATTGTACAAAATATATACTTATAGTAACGATTGTTTATTCAATACTGAGTAAAAAAATAAATTAGACTATACTAGTTACTTTTCACTTCTTCGTCACACTAATTTTATATTCGATTGACAAATTCGGTTTGATAATTATAACCCTCCCCTCCCCTCCCCTCGCGAAAAGAAAATTTAAAATATATCGTGGCGCGGATTCGTTCGCGACACCCAACGACACACTTTAAAGCGTTTCTCTTTCACCCCCTCAGCCCCCTTAATCCCGCCCCCTTCCGCGTGTTAGGGAGTCAGGTGAAATCCATCATTAACACATATCGTACTGTTAAGGATCCAATTTTAATTTTCCAAAATTTTCCGTGAAAAAAAGCACGTCCGCCAGAGTTTGTTCGACGATTCCTTCCTCCGATTTCTCGTGCATCTAAAATATACACACACACACATATAGAAATATTTAATTTAAAAAAACAAATGATGATGATAATAATAATAATATTACCCCTCGGTGAGGTATATCCGGCGGATGTTTAAAATTCGGACCGAAATTAACGGTCACCGTCGTCGATTTAAACATCGACACGGCTGGAAAATAAGCTCCCTGATAAATATCTTCGAAAGCTAAACCTTGACACTCGCCATTTTTATAAAAATATATTTTAGATCCCGGTAAAGGTTTCAAAGCTTTCAAAGCCTCGACGACTTGATCCTTTTCTTCGTAGTAAAGATGAGATTTGAATTTGACGAGCGGCTGATAAAAAAGAAAAAAATAATCATCATTATTATTATTATGACTCTAAAGTAGTTTCAAACCGCAAGGCAAAAAAGGTTCGCTCACCCTGTCCTTTTTGTACGTTTGCGGCAAATACCTGACGTCGGATTTTTCCGGTAAAGTTATTAAAAATCCCAAAACGTCACCCACGGCGTATCCCTCCGAATAATGTTTCCCGTGACTTTCGTGAAATTTGGTTCCCTTAATGGATCTCCAGGAATAACCGAATTTATCGTAACCTATGGGTGCCTTAAAGAAAATCATCATCATCATTTACTTTTGACAGGATTCCACAAAAAAAAAAAAAAAAAAAAAAAAAAGAAAATTTTTGTTTACTTGTAAATTGGCATATTCCTGAGCCCAACCCAATCTCACGGCTCCGCCATCGGGGATTTCGGTTATGGTCGCTTCCCAGTACCAGGTACCACGAGTAACGGAATGAGTTGCCCTAAGCATGCAGTATCCTTTGTCTCCGGTACACGTCAACCTGTCATCCGATACTTTTATTTGTGGTGCCCGATCGTGAAGTGCTAATAATACCGTGTTCGAAACGACGGCTCTGTACAACCAAGGGGGTATGGGTTTTCCAGCCCAATCAGGACTTTCGTCAAATTCCTAAACGCATAAAAGATACAATTTCCGGAATGAGAGAAAATAATAATAATAATTATTATCCGTGAGTTTATTTACCTGACGAAAAGGTGCGTGAGGATCGGGTTCGGCTAATATATACCTATAACCATCTTTATTGTGTGGATGTTCTAACGGGTATCCGTGAGCGGGTAGTTTAGGTACCGCATCTCCTCCACCTCCTCTACCCTTTTTTACCGGTCCACTCGAATCCGCGGGTAATTTTCTTTTCGATCTACCCTTTGTAGGAACAACTTAAACGAAAAACAAGGTTTTTTAACAATCGAAAACAAACAGACAAACAAACAAACAAACAAACAATTTCCTTTTACCATCGCTTTGTTTACTATTTCCTGTTTTCCCCATTGTTTCATACGAGGGACGTATTTGTGTTAATTCTAAATTTAACAATCCAAAACAATTTCCATCGGGTGTATCTTCATGTTTGAATAAAGTTCCAGTTTCTTTTGTCAATGCTCTTAAAATCTAAAAAAAAAAAAAAAAAAAACAAATGACTCATTGTAAAATAATAATAATAATAATAATAATAATAATAATAATAATAATAATAATAATAATAATAATAATAAAACAAAAAAATTTGTCTCTCTTTTGAACGTTTTTTTTTTTTTTTTTTTTTTTTAATGAACTATTAAAATTATTAAATCCATAGAGACTAGAAAACTATCTTTTGTCAACACAACATTATTATTATTATTATTATTATTATTAATTAAATATTTTAAATAAAAAAAAAAATTTATTATTTACATAAAATAAATTAAATCATAACAAAATAAAACAAATACACAAACAAATTATTATTATTATTATTATTATTTACGTTTGATTTAAAAAATTACAATTTTTTTTTACATTATTATTATTTTTCCACACTTTTATACATAATAAATTAATTACTCCCTAATAATTAATAAATAAAAAATTTATTGATTAATAAATAAATTAATTAAAACGTAATTGATCGACTCGATTTTTTATATGTGATACTGATAATGAAAAGCCCTTGAATACATTTTTTTTTATTAAGATAATTGTCTTGTTATTCGATTCAATTAATTATTATTATTATTATTATTATTATTAATAAAATTATTATAACTTACAAAAATTTTAACCGTATTTATTAATTAATAATTTAATTTAAAAAAAAAAATAAATAAATACATACACAGTATTTTTTTTTTTGTTCAATAAATTTAATTCGTTTTCATTACTAATTATTATTAAATAAAATAAATTATTTATTATTATTATTATTATTATTTAGAAAAGGTTTAACATGAAGGATACGAAACGTTTTGTTTTTGTGTTTTTGTTTTTTTTTTTTTTTTAAATTGATAGGCTTATAAAAAATTCATGTGAAAAGGAAATGCGTGGGAATAACATCAACAAAATATCAACAACAAAACATTAAATCGATAAATTTTTTCTTTTTTTTCTTATTCTATTACACTCGACGACCATTTTTTTTAATAAATTATTTATTTAATTTAATAAATGAGAAATAAATTTTCCAAACAAACAGGCAAACACATACCCAATTATTATTATTATTATTAATTAAAACAAATATTCACTTAATGATATTATTTCACACACTCTCTCTCTCTGAGTTTTTTTTTTTTTTTTAAAAGTTTTTTTTCTTGTTTCACTTAAAAAAACAAAAAAAATGTTATGTAATAGTTTTAAAGCTTAAAAATCGATTCGTTATGATTTTATTTTAAATAAAATTAAAATCAATAATAAATATATGTTAAGGTCTTTTATCATTATTGAAAAATTTATTATTATATATAAATGATAAGATTTTAATTTTTTGTGTTTCAATTTACATTTTAATAACAAATTTATTTATTTAAATGTGAATTTTTTATACTATATATATGTTTTTAATTGTTTATTTTTTATAATATTGTTATTTAAATTATGATTGAATTATTATTATTAATTTTACAATTTTTATTTTAAACATTTTCGACAGAAATTTTTATGTAAAACCATAATGTAAATCTTTATGATTTCGAAAAACACGAGTTTTATGTTAAGTTTAAATTTTACATTGCGTTATTTTACAAATTTTTATATAAAATATTTGAATTTTATGAATAATAATAATAATAATTATTAACTGTTGAATGAGAGTAAAAAATTTTAAATAAAACAAAAAAGATGTTTAATCGAAATTTTGTAATGTAAGACGAATGTTTGACTAATATACGAAAAAGGTTTTCATGCTTATGTTTTATGTCGAAAAAAAATTAACAAACTTAAATGAATTACTGTAGAGAAACTATAAAATGTATAAATAATCATGCAAAAATAAAAAAGGTTATGTTTGTTTGAAAAAAAAAAAAAGAAGGTAAAAGGAAAGAAGCATCACAAACGAATAACGATTAAATAACGATAATAATATTTTTTGCTTGATTATTATTGGAAATATTATTTAATTGAAAGTAGTCAATACCTACTGTAGCATGCCATGATTGTGTAACTCTTCTAGGCATTGTAGTCATTCCTTCCCAATAAGTATCTATAAAGGGGATTATTTCTTTATCTTTATGAAACATTGTTCTAGGTTTGCCTTCTTTTATGCTTGTTTGTACTAGATTTCCAAGTGCTGTAATACATATCTAAAAAAAAAAAATAACAAAAATCAAATAAAAAAACTTTTATTTTAAATGTAATGATGGAATCATACAAAGGTATTTATGTAACGAATAATTTTATTAACTTATTATACACTAAAATATGAATAATCATTTGAAAGTAAAAAATTTAAGTTTAATAACACAGAGGAAAGTTATTATTATTTTATTTCTCAATAAGTAACCATTTGGTTAATTGATTTTAAAATTACAGCAAATCAGGTAAAGCATTTAGGAAATACTGTACCTGTGGAAATGTAGCTTGATTTTTTTTAAAACTCTCCAATCCAGTAGGAGAACAATTTTTACAAACAAAATGATAATTAACCATGAAAGGTACTAATTTTCCCAATTGATAGCTAATACAACTTTCATGATACCATTTAAGACAAGTACTGCAAAGAAGTTCGCAAATATTTAAATTTCTTTCTTTGCCACAATAACAATTACCCTCTCTTTCCATAGTCATTTTTTTAAAAATTAAATTTGATTGTTTTTATATTATACGATATTATGATTATATTTATATTATATGATCTATATATTAATGATTATATTATGTTTATTATATCTATACTATATTTATGATTATATTATATTTAATGATTAATTAAAAATAATCATTTGTTTACCATTTTACTGTACATACAAAACTTTTAAGCTTTGAGAAGTTGGCTTTATTGTGTCGATTTTGGCGGGAACTTTAGCTTTCCATTTTTTTTATCATTTTCCGGTCATCATTTCGTGATAAGCCTTTATTTTCAGGCTAATAATTCTCTCGAAATAGGCTTTTTCTAAATAATAATAAAGTCATTACAAAATTAAAAGAAAGAAAAAAAACTTTCACATTCTTTCATTAGGATGGTTAATTTTATGACAGGACTTTGCAATTTCTTCAAACATTAAAAAAATGATTTTTTTACTTTAAAGTCACGTAAGTTTTTGTCTTAAACATTTTTAAAATAATTTTTTTACAAAAAAGTACGAAAATTTATTCGTTATTACGCATCCGAATCTACTGCAAATTCCTTTTTAATTTCAAAAAGGTTATATTTTATGTAAGTTAAAAAATAAAAAAAATCAGTTTTCATTTTCGTGTTTTAAATAAGTTTTCATATAGTTTACATCATAATTTTTTTAATGGAATTATAAATCGATTTAAGTTTGAAGGAAAAATGGCATGATTTATTTCTTTTGATGTCACAATAATAATATTGGGAAGATCGTCAAAATTTTCGGATAATTACTCCAAGTACGATAAGCATTGTAAATGACGTGTATTTATTTGCGCATGCGTTATTTAGCATTACGTGGCAGTGAGATTTTTAAATAGTTGGTGTGTAAAAAGGATAAATTGTTTTTTTTAAAAGTAAGTTTCCTTGATTTTACTTTAATTAATTTTTTGTACAATAACGGCTGAAGTGTAATTTATTTAAATTTATTTTACTTTTAATCTACTTTAAGTAAAAATAATAGAATATTGTTATGTTTTACAAATGTGTTCAAAGTTATGTTGCCCTTTGCTCTATCCTTGATAATAATAAATGAAAATATTAAAAATTTACAAGATTCCTTAAGAAATTCTCTTGAGATATTGCAGTTTGATAAATGTCACGTTTGAAATAGCTTTCGTAAGCATTTGTGTCATGAGAAAATCCTTAATGTGACATATTGTCAACACTTAACCTAAAATGGCCGATTTCTCATGACTTACCTATTTTTTATAAATTTAAGTGTCAATTTTTGACTTGAACTTAAAAAAACCAAATTAATGTAAATTTGTTGTTTACAACAAATTAATTATTTAACTTAACAAAATAATACTTTTGTAAAAAAAATTTTTTTAATTATTGTGTCAGAATATAAGTTTGTTTTGCAAAAATTATTAATCATTTTTTTTTGTTTGTAGATTACAAATGTATTGAAAAATGAATCAACATATGATGCAATTTGGAAATCAACCAACAGGCTATCCACAGTCAGGAAATTATCCTGGAAGTTATGCTCCACCAGGTGGTGGACCACCACCACCTCCTAACAGTAATATGCAACCAGGGAGTTTTCCTCCTCCTAGGCAATTTGGTCCAGGAGTTTCCCATGCTACTACACAGTCAAACAATTTACCAACTTCAACATCATCAACAAATCCAGCAGGATTTGTAGTTCCTCCTGGGTCTCAAGGGCCACCACCTGTAACTGCTTCTGGAATCAAACCACCAGGATATCAAGGCCCCCATTTTCCACAACCCTCTGGACCAGTTATGCCTCCTGCCCAAGGGCTTCCTTTACCAGGTCAGTTTCACAACAATCCATCAGCTTCACAAGTTCCACAGCCACCACCAAGTATGGGACCTACTGGAGATCATCTTTCTGGCCCACCAATTTCGCAAGGACCAAGACCATTTATGAGGCCTCCTGGACCATCAACGACACCAGTTTCTCAGACAATGCTGAATGGCCCTCCTGGTGCTCCGCCAGTCAGTAGCCCACATGGGCTTAGTGGGCCTCCAATGAGTAATGTAATGCCTGGAGTTAGAGGGCAATCTTATGAACCGCCTTTTACCAATGGTTCTCCTTCAATGATGCCCCCCCAAAATTCCAATTTACATTCATCTGGGCCAATCGATGCTAACAAACAAGTAAGTTTGTAAAAATTTCATTTTAATTCTAACAAGCTTTTAACTTAATTTTTTTATTTCTTATTTTTAAAATGATTTATCGTCTTTCAGTACATCAATGGAACTCCGCAAAATCAATTGCCTGGAGGACCACCTCTGTCCCAACAGCAACCTCCATTTAATTACAGTTCTTCAGGCCCAATGCCTACTCCTCCAAGTGGTCCACCTAAACCAAGTTATCCTCAAATGCCAAGTTTAAGTAATCAAAACCCGAATATGCCGCCTCAACAACAACAATCTCCTTCGCAATTACCTTACCCTCCTGCGCCACATATGACATCAGCATATTCTCCAAATCCAGTAAGTTTTCATATTTAAACTAAAAATTAATTTTACTTAAGTAATATCTCACAAAAATTAGTATTTTACTATTAGTCAATAATGTAATTAATTATTTAGGTTCTTTTCTATTAAAGTTTAAAATTTTTTTAGGCTAATTTTAATAAAGATAACTTCAGCACAGCAGGCCCTCCTCTGCAACAGAATGAAATGCGTCCCAATTTTCCGCCAATGAATCAAGGATCCTATCAACAAATGAATCAATATTCTGGCCTTCATCAAAATTATTCTGGAATAACTAGCCCTAGTTATCCCCAACCTCAAGTTCAATCGAAAGCTCAAAGAAAATTGGATCCCGACATGTTGCCTAATCCAGTAAGTAACCTAAAATATAAATTTTTATTACAAAATAAAATTAAATTTAACTAATTATTTGAATTCTTCAATTAGATACAAGTCATGCAAGATGATGAGAAAAATCGTTCAGGAGTATTTTACACAGACCAAAAAGGATTAATGCCCCCATTGGTAACAACAAACTTTATAGTACAAGATCAAGGCAACTGCTCCCCACGTTTTCTTAGATCAACAACTTATAACGTACCTGTAACTGCTGATTTACTGAAGCAGGTAAAAAATTTAGTTTTTATGGGGGGGGGGGTTTTTTTTTGTTTTAAACAGCCATTTTATCGGTTATTGTTAGTATACATTTAATTGCATGCCATTTAAGTCAAAAATTACATTATCCTATGCAATGAGAAAGAAATCCTTTTTCAGTCAATTCTTCCAACCGAATTACTTTTCGAAAGAAATCAATCACTTCTCCAGTAACCCATATATTACTTTTCTTTTTTTTTTTTTTTTTTTATTTTATTTTCTGAACAAAAGAAGAAATCAACCAAGTGGTGGTGATTGCAAATGAAGAAATTGGTGAGGGGGTAAGTTTTCTTACCATAATATCCAAATTGATTTTCCAAGCAATGTGTATACTAACAATAAATATTGTAATTGAAATGCATTCAATTCGCTTTTATCTAACAATTTTTATTGGGGGTTTCTAATTTTTAATAATTTTCATTGCTACAAGTAGAGTTTTTTTTTTTTATATCAGACGTCGGTACCCTTCGCTTTGTTAATAAGCCCTTTGGCCAGAATTGCTGAAGGTGAGCAACCACTTCCAATAGTGAACATGGGTGAATTAGGACCCGTTCGTTGCATCAGATGCAAAGCTTACATGTCACCTTTTATGCAATTCATTGATGGCGGAAGGAGATTTCATTGCGTTTTTTGCAAAGCAACGACCGAAGGTAAGGGTGTCTATTCTGCCTTCATTTGATAAATTTTTTTGTAATAATAATCTTAACAATTTCTTTTTCTTTTTTTTTTTTTTTTTTTTTTTCAAGTTCCCGGAGAATACTTTCAACATTTAGATCACACCGGTCAAAGAGTAGATAGATTTGAAAGACCAGAATTGGTTTTAGGCGCCTACGAATATGTGGCGACAAAAGATTATTGTAGAGTAAGTTTATCCTAAAAAAATTTTTAGAAAAAAACGTCAATTCGATTCAAGATGTCTGACGATTAATTTAATTATATTTTTTTCAGAACAATCAACTTACAGAACCTCCCGCAATTATATTTGTTATAGACGTTTCTTATAGTAATGTTAAAAGCGGATTGGTTCACTTGTTGTGTTCTAAAATGAAAGAAATAATTAAAAATTTGCCTAGAGACGAAGGTTCGGAAATGTCAAATATGAAAGTAGGATTTATAACTTACAGCAGTAGTGTACATTTTTATAATATTAAGGTGATTTAAATTTGAAATTGTATAATAATACAATTAAGTAATAATTTAACTGATGTAAAAAAAATAATAATAATAATAATAATAATAATATTTTTAGAGTTGTTTGGCGGCACCGCAAATGTTACTCGTCGGTGACGTCAACGACATGTTTATGCCTTTACTCGATGGATTCCTATGCGATCCAACGGAATCGGAAGTAGTCATTGATTTGCTCATGCAAGAAATCCCGAAACAATTTGCGGAAACTCGCGAAACGGAAACCATTTTATATCCCGCAATACAGGCGGGGTTGGAAGCTCTCAAAGCATCCGGTTGCGCGGGAAAATTACTCGTTTTTCACAGTTCACTTCCGATCGCCGAAGCTCCGGGAAAATTAAAAAATAGAGACGACAGAAAAGTTTTAAACACGGATAAAGAAAAAACAGTTTTAGGTATTTATTTTATGATATATTTTTAAAGTTTTCAAAATTTACAAAAAAAAAAAAATTTTATATTGACTGAATTTTTTTTTTTTAGCTCCGCAAAATAATTCGTACAATAATTTGGGTGAGGAATGCGTGAAAGTCGGATGTAGCGTGGATTTATTCATTTTTAATAATTCATATGTTGATATAGCAACGATCGGAGAGGTTTCCAGGTTAACCGGAGGTGAAATATATAAATACACATATTTTCAGGTAGGGGGATTTTAAAAGTATCGTCGGGTTTTTTTATTTTACCGGAAAACTTTGTCGATTTTTAAATAATAATTTTAACGTTTAATTTTAAAGGCTGATATCGACGGAGATAGATTTCTTGCCGATTTGAAACGTAACGTTTCGCGGCAAACGGCATTTGATGCTATTATGAGAGTAAGAACTTCGACGGGAGTGAGGCCAACGGATTTTTACGGTCATTTTTTCATGTCGAATACGAAAGACATGGAATTAGCTTCGATCGATAGCGATAAGGTGAAAAAAATATCATGGCATTTAATTAAAAACGGACAAACATACTAATAATGATCGTTTAATAAATTTGCATTTTTTTTTTTTCGAGCAGGCGGTGGCGGTCGAAATAAAACACGACGACAAATTAACGGAAGAAGATGGAGTGTACATTCAGGTCGCGCTTTTATACACGTCTTGCGGCGGTCAGAGAAGGTTAAGAATACTCAATTTGTCATTGAAAACGTGTTCGCAAATGGCGGATTTGTACCGAACCTGCGATTTAGACACTCTCGTCAATTATTTATCAAAACAAGGTAGTGATCGGTGTTGAAAGAAAATTTTTTTTTAAAAAATACTTTGAGGCCGTGAACGTTAAAACCGTTAAAACCGTTAATTTTATTCATTTTCAGGAATATTTAAATTACTCGAAAGCTCCCCGAAACAAGTTAAAAATGACATAATGAACAGATGTGCTAACATTCTCGCGTGCTATAGGAAAAATTGTGCTAATCCGAGTAGTACGGGACAATTAATTTTACCCGAATGCATGAAACTATTGCCGTTGTACGTTAACACTTTATTGAAAAGCGATGCATTTTCCGGAGGTAGGAAAATTATTTACGTTAAAGACGTTTCCCCCCCCCCCCCGTTTTATATAATTAATTTCGTTTTTTCTAGGTTCCGACATGACTTGCGACGATCGTTCATTTGCAATTCATTGCGTCATGATCATGGATTTAACGGTTTCCGTTTGTTATTTCTATCCCCGTCTCATAGCCCTTCACAACCTCGATCCGGATTCATACGATATTCCCATGCCAATACGTTGCACATACGAAAAATTACAAGACGATGGAGTTTATCTATTAGGTAATGATGATTAATTTCAAAAATTGTCACTCATTTTGTTTTTAACGTTTTTTGATCAAAATTAACAACCGATTTTAATTGGATTCAGATAATGGAATTCACATGTTTATGTGGTTGGGATTGAATGCACCATCGAGTTTCATTTCGAATGTTTTTGGCGTTCCAACAACTCCACTTGTAGACACAGACAAAAATGCTTTACCCCCATTGGAAAATCCACTGTCGTTAAGAATAAGAAAATTAGTTGAAGATGTACGCGAAAAGAGGCACCGATCAATGAGAGTAAGTTTTTATTTTAATTAATAATAATGGGTGAAAAATTTATTTTAAAAAGTAAAAAACAAATTTGTCGTTGTTTTGTTTTTTTGCAGTTGACCATTCTTAAACAAAGGGATAAAATGGAAATGGTATTTAAGCAATATTTAATGGAGGATCATGGAATCGATGGATCTCCATCGTATGGAGATTTTCTTTGCCATATGCATAGCCAAATTCGAACCATTCTTAGCTAGGATTTACTAAAGAGATGATAAATATAATAATAAATTATAATTTTATTATTTAAGTTTGGTGAAATTTTAAATGAATTTTCCCTACTGGTAAAAAAATGAAGAGATTAAAGGGTCGAAAAAAAAAATTTTATAATCGAAAATAAATTAGATGATGATGATGATGATGATGATTCATAATATAAAGTCAAATCGAATTTATATACAAAGTGAACAAGGTTTCGGGATAGAAAAAAACGAAAAGTGAATCCTCGTAAATGTTATTTATTATTATTATTATTATTATTTATCATGAAAGAATAACTAATGGTTGAAAGGTTATCATTATTATTATTATTATTATTATTGTCAGTGTATTAATTGGAAAAATATTTGTAAGAAAAGTGTATTGAATAATGACTTGTTAGAAAAGGAAAGGAAAAAGAAAATGATTTAAATTAATAAAAGGGTTTTAACTATTTGCTTAAAATAAAAAAGAAAAAAAATTTTTTTTTTATATAATGGGGGAAAATAAGTTTAAGTTATTTTGCAAACTACGATTGTACTAGTTGAAAATGTTATTAAGCACATTGTAAATATTAGTATCTGCCTTTATTAATATAACAAAATATATATGTATATTAACATTATTATTATTATTATTATTAAAAAAAAAAAAAATATTTCGTAATTTTTATTATTCATAAAAAAAAAAAAAGTAAATTAATTAAATAAGTTAAATATATAATGAAAAAAAAAAAATACTCGGTTTTTCTTTTTTGTTTTGTTATCCTAAAAAAAAATAGTATTTGTAACAAAATTAGAAAATATAACAAAACAAATCAATTGTCATTATTTGAAATTTAAAATTTGGCGCGAAATTTTTTTTTATTACATCTTTTAATCGTTAAATAAAAATAACTTATGGTGATTTTATTAAAATAATGCAAAGTTATTGTAAAAAAAAAAAAATAATAAATAATTTAACCTCGATTTAGAGTAAAAATAGTATCAACATCGGAGTCAAAGGAAATTTCCTTTGAAACGAAGCTTGAACTACGCAGTAAATAAAAAGGAAAAGAGTTGTTTCCTTTTTCATCCCTACCCAATCAACTTCATGTTTTTATTGCTAGAAAATGTCGTCCTACATAATGGTAAGCTTTTTCTTTTCTATTTTTCAATTTTATTTAAACATTTCTTAGTTATTTTAAAATTATCACGCGATATTTTTTAAGTAAATTGTTTAAAAGCATATTATTTACTTATTTATATTCGTTAAATTAGAAATTTAATGGAGGAGAAACCCATAAATATATATATCGATCATGAAGATTAGTTTCATTATAATATGTAATTTTTATTCTTGGTTTTATTAATTATTTTTTTAATTGTTTTGTACTAAATGATATTTATTATTTTAAGTGACGAATTAAGTATTTACGAAGATATTTGTTAAACGCATTTGATAAAAAATTGTATTCTTTTGATTATTTTTTTCGTTTGGTTTATTTTACATTTCTTTTACTTTATGTGAGAGCACTAATCAGGTTTAAAATACGTTTAAAATTTACTTTATAATACCTTAAGCACATTTTTCATTTGTTTTCTGCATACATTTGGGTGTAATTTTCTTATTTGTAGCAAATTTTTTTTAATTAACAGAATAATCAAGAGTCTGATGAAGAAGTGGATCTTGAAGCTTTACGATTAGCTGCCTTAAAATCGAGAAAAGGCAAATATGCTCATAGAGTTAATCACAATAATTTAATTCCCATAGTTCCAGTTCCTATTGAAAATACTGAAGTAATAGAAAAAAAAATTAAAAAAGAAAAATTAACTCCCCCGCCAGAAAATAAACCATTAGGTAAAATACACTTCCTTTGTTTTGTTCTCGTTTTGTTATTTGATTTTAAATTTTTTAATGATGATTTTTATTATTAATTTTAGAAGCACAAAATACTAAAATCAATAAAGAAAATGAAGAAGACAAACTGTCATGTTTCTCCGGAATCACATTCGAAAATGATGGTGATATTTTAAGTGTTGATGATAAAGAAGAAGAAGATAGTTTAGAAAGGTTAATGGACCAACTTGAAGCGGAAATATCTGGAAAAGCTCCTTTGCCATCTACGAAAACAGTGTTGTCAAAAAGTTCTAATAATTCTAAAAAAGAGTCAAAAAATAGAACAGACAAAGTTATTGCAGATGGTGATGATGAAATTGAGTTAGTGCAAGTTAAAACGGGAAAAGAACCTGGAGCGATAATCGAAATTAGGGAATCTATTTCTCCGGATAATTTTTCAAAAAATAGTAATGCAACAAAACCTCCATCATCTCCATATGAAAAAAATTCTGTAAGGAGGTCTAGGAGTCCTTTTAGAAGTAGAAGTAGAAGTCCTTTTTCTCTTAGTCGTAACCACAGGAGATCAAGAAGCCCATATTGGTCAAAGAGTCCTTTAAGGTCTAGGAGTCCTTTTCGCAGATCGAGAAGTCCATTTTGGTCATCTAGGCGTTCAAGATCTTCTTCCAGAAAATCTAGAAGTCCTTACAGGCGGTATAGAAGTCCTAATCGAAAACGTTCCCCTTACACTCGGTTTTCTAGAAGTAGGTCCAAATCTTACGAACGTAGACGTTCCCCATGGTCATTTTCTCCCAGGCGAAGATCAAAATCTCCGCTTTTTCGCGAGGGATCACCCTTTGCTCGACGCAGAAACTTCAATTCTCCCAACGGAAGAATAAGAAGATCTTTTTCGCCAAGAGAGGGTAGTAGATCACCCAGAAGAAGATCACGATCTCCTAGGCGCTTTATTCGAAATTCCCCATTTCATCGCTCAAAATCACCATTTAGAAGATCTAAATCGCCTTTAAGGCGTTCATCTTCACCGTATTTACATCGTTCTAAATCTCCAATTAATAATAAAACCTCCCCACCTTATAAAAGAATCGGAAACAGGCGATCTAAAACTCCCATTCGCCGGGGAATTTCTCCTGGAAGAAGACCGAAATCTAGTGACCGATCATCACCCAAACGAAAATCGAAATCTCCGATAAAGAAAGGTGTCATCACGACAAGAAAATCACCTAAGAGAAAAGATGGAACCGATGGTAGAAACTTTAGTTTTAGCACGTCTCCAACTCCTCGGAAAAATCGATCTCCTCTTAGAGTTGTGGAAAAAAATAAATTGGAATCGACTGAAAGAAATGAAAAATCTAACGAGCGAGGAAAAAATGAAAAACGACCCAGGAGTTTGTCGAGGGAAAACAGGAAATACGATCGGAGATCTAACATGAGATCGAAAAATTTTAGACGAATTTCACCGAACAAAAATGTAAAATCTTCGGATGTTTCCGGAAAAAGAAGCAAGAGTCCAAAACAAAAGTCAGGATCTGATGAGAATGGCAAGGACGCGCAAAATCAAGGTGCGAAAGAGACTGACTCTAATGTCGTCACATCGGCTCCTCCATCGGATTCCGTTTTGGAAGCTCGAAAGAAAAAATTTGAAAGTTTAAATGAAGTGGATCCGACCGTTGACAAAAAAATATCCCTTAAATCAATTAAAGAATCGAATGAAAATAATGACGAAGATGAGGAGGATGCGTTGACCATCAATTTGGAGAGTAATTTATGGGATGATTCGGAAGAGAGCGGAGATGAATTCGAGAGTAGATTTAAATCCAGCGATCCTAGGAAAAACAATTCGTCGTCAGTTAACCGTACAGTATTGTCTTTTAGGAATTTGCGGGAAGGTGATAATGCGAGTCGGAAAATTTTCCTCAATAAACCTTTGACGCAGGAAAATACCAACGAAAAATCAAATCGCGACGATCGGAGAGATAGATGGCGTAGAAACAATAAAAACGATTCGCGAAAATCAACAAATATGGATGGTAAAAAAAGTAGAAATGACAATTTAGATAAAAGTAGAGGGAAAAACAACAGCGGGGGATTTTCTTCTTCTTCTTTAAATTCCGGTGTGAGAGGAGAAAGGCGAACAGATCGAAAACCAATTTTCTGGTCGAAAAAGGATGAATTTAAATCCGAGAAAAATTTGAAAGACAACGAAGTGTCGACAACTCAAAGTGACTTAAAAAGTAACAAATTAAAAAAAAATAGTGAAAGTAAAATTGTTGCGGAACAAAACGATGGGGGATTGACTCAAGAAACGGATGATTTTGACAAGTTAATAAGTGATTTCGAAAAAGAATTAGAAAATGACATTTGTTTAACTCCGAAAATTGCGATTGAACAAACCGAACCTAGAAAATCGAAAGTTTCCGTCAAAAGGGGAAATTTTATCGAGTCCAAAAGTACGACTGTTGATACGATACCTAAAAAGACAATGCCCGCGAGAACGGTGAAAATAAACGAAGCAATATCTAAAAAAACAGGTACAAATGAACCTTTCGATAAAAAAAAAAAAAAAAAAAAAGTATTAGTTTCGAATATTAGTCGGTTTTTAGGTTTTAAAAACAATTTTTGTTTATTTTTTTTTTTTTTAGAAAATATTCTAGAAGAGCCACCATTAGTGTCTTTTATCGACGGTAATAATGATAAAACATTGCTGGACGGACCCGAAGACTATAACGAAGATGATGATTTTGTACTCGAAGTCTCTTCGAAGCAAAAGCCAAAGAATAAAGGCGAAGACGAAGACAATAAAAGCGATTTGCGAACCGTTTTAAGTCGGAGAAGAAATGAAAAGTTAAAAAAGGTTACGACCGTTCAAGATAATTCACGTTTAGTTCAATCCGCCTTTCAGGGTTTAGGAAAGTGAGTTGAAAATGTTTTTTTTTACGCGAGTTAAATTGCACAACGAAAAAGGTTTAAAAAGGTTTAATGATTTATCATGGCGTTTTACAGTAAAAAATTAAAACGACCCGATCGCGAAAGTCATGACACGAATGAAATGTTGTTCGACGAAAAAGGCACGGTTGTAGAAAAAAGGAGAGTCCTTCTTTTACACAGAGATAAAAATCTAGTCCCTGAAGGTATGTGTTACGTGCTTGTGGTTAAGAAATTCATTAAAACAAAAGAATCTGGCGACATTTTTAAAAGACATTTTTTTTTTTTTTTTTTTAAAGTTAAACCGGATACGACAATATATCAGCGATTCGCACGTCCACCCAACGCCCAAATAAAGAAAAGAAAGTTGCTGAGGCAACAGGATCCGATGGATGTGATTGGGGATCAAGAGGAGGAGGAGGAGGAGGAGGAAGATGGAGGGATTATTATTGGGGGAAGATTCGAAGAAGTGGAAGAAGAGAAACAATCGAGAAGGTTTCGTCTTAAAAGAAACGTTACATTGAGTTCCCAGGTACGTGTAGAAATTTATTTAACTATTGTTACGATCGACTCCTCGTTTTTTTGTTGTTGTTTTCTCCCCCCCCCCTTTTTTTCCCCCCTTTTTTTTAAATATTTTCACGGTTATTCATTTTATTATTAAATTATTTGAAATTATTATTAATTTATATTCAACGGTGGTGGTAAGGTTTTTTTTTTTTTTTTAAAGGAAGAGGATTGATTGGAAAAAAAAAATTTTAATTTTATAGCCATTGATTGATTGATTGATTGATTGATTGATCTTTTATTTATTTAAATTAATTTGATCTCATTCAAGTGTACACTTTTATCTTTTTATTAATTTTGAATAATTATTGTTGTAATATTTAATCATTCTCATTCATTCATTCATTCATTCATTTTGTACTCGGATTGAGTTATTTACAAAAGGGTTATTACACCCAAAAAGGTTAAAAAAATGAATAGAAAAAAAATTTTTTTTTTTTTTTTTTACTGAATGACAATAATAATAATGATGATAGCCGAGTCTAAATCATTCTGCCTGTGTAAAGCATACATACAATTTGAGATTTTACATTAATATATCGATAATAATAATAATAATAGTAATAATATTAATAATAACCGATTTGCAAAGTAACGTCGTACCAAAAATGATTGTTTTAAAAAAACAAAAAACAAAAAAAATATTACCCTTATGTTGTGATAATAATAATAATGTAATTTTTAAATTTTTATTATTATCATTATTATTAATATTTTCTCTTCTTTTTTTTTCATTATTATTATTATTTTTCAGTATTTTTCTCGGCTTTTTTTTTTTAAATATTGTTTTTTTTGTAATTATATATTTGATAGAACCGACGATAAACCAAAAAGATGTTAGTAAATAAGAATAGTAATAATAATAATAATAATACTAATAACTTCTCGGTGGTTTTTTTGTTGATGTGTGTGATTGGTCGTGATGTTTTGCTCGAAGAGCGACGAAAACCAAATTTTTTTTTTTTTAAATACTCAGGGATTTTATTAAATTATTAACACATAATTATTAAACTGTGATGAGAAAATTGAATCGACTGCTGCGCTGGGTATTAATTTATTTTTAATTTCGGAATTTGCGGGTATTAAAATATATATATATATATAAACATGTGATACATAAGTTTGTCGGTTACAATTGTCCGAACAAATGAATTTTTTTTTTTATAATGACTTGATAAATTTGTTTTTTTTTTTTTCTTTTTTTTTGTAAAAAAAAGTTGTTATTATTATCATTATTATTTTGATTTTTTTTTAAATAAGGAGAACGAACAATGACGACAATTTTTTTTTTTTTTTTGTCATTTTTTACTCAAGCTTTCTGACGTTTTGCTATTTTTTTTTTTTTTTTTTTTTTTGCGTTATTTAATATTCTTCAAAGGAGAAATTTCGATATTATTATTATTGTTAATACTATTATTATTATTATTATTATTATTATTATTATTATTATTATTATTATTATTATTATTATTATTATTATTATTATTATTATTATTATTCTCTTCACGTTGTAAAATTGTTTTTTAAAATTTTTTTTTTTTTTTGAAATATTTTAATTTTTGAGTTTTAAATTAATTTAATTTTATATATTTTTTTTCTTTTTTGTCATGCCGAATTATTGTTGTTCTCATTTTATTTTATTTTATTTACGTGTGTATATTTGTATGTGTGTGTGTGTGGGGGGGTGCGTGCGTGCGTGTGCGTGTGCGTAAATTTAAAAAAAAAATTTTTTTTGGTTTTAATTGTTATGCATTATATAAAAATGAGACTGAAATTGGAATTAAAAACGATTATATATTGTAATCGATTTAAATCCGAATATTATTATTAAAATATTCTAAATTAATTTACTCAGGCATATTATTATTATTATTATTATTATTTTATATAAATTTTAATTGAATGAAAAAAAAAAGAAAAGAAAAGAAGGTGCAATCAAATTCGTTAAAATTGTTTGTATTTAATTTTTTTTTTTACTGAATTTATTGATTGTAATATTTTGTATAAAAAAAATTTTTTTTTTTTATTGTTGAAATTGTTTGATTGTGCGTGTGTGTGTGTGTGTCGGTAAGAAAAGAATCACGTGATTCAAAAAATGGCGTTTTTCTCACAAAAAAAAAGAAAAAAAAAAGAAAATTTTAAATGTATTATTTAATTAATATGTAATATTTAAAAATGGTAGAAAATTTTCAATGTTTTATTTATTTGTTTGTTTTTTATTTTTGTTTTTTTTTTTTTTTTTTTTTTTTTTTTTTCTCTTTGAAATGTTTAGGTACAAAATTAAATCGTGAATCATCATTTAGGGATACAAATGTCGTAGATTGAGAGATTTTTTGTACAGTTTTCCTCACAATGGCTTCATATTCAAAAGAAAAAAAAATTTAAAATAAAAAATAAAAAAATATTTTTAAAAAAAACCGGAGAAACAGTTATTATTATTATTATTATTAATTTTATTATACTCTTTTTATTACAAATTTTTTTTTTGTTTTTGTCACGTGTACATATTAAATAATTATAACGATTAAGAACACTGAAGTTTTTTAAATTAAAACATGATGATAATGATGATGATAATAACAATAAATAATTTTTAATAAACGGTTTTTTAGTAAATAAAGTGAAAAAAACATTTTTAGTTATTAGTAAAAAAAAAGGGTTAAAAAGTATGTAAAAAAGAAACAAACAAAACGCACTAAGGGAAACAAACATGTTGTTGTTGTTGTTGTTGTTGTTTTTATTTTTTGTTTGTTTTCTTAATTGTTTTGATTTAATTTAAATTTTTTTTTTTTTTTTTTCCCACAGTGAAAATTTATTTTTCAGCACCTCAGTAAGAAAGTCATTTTTGATTTTTTTGTTTGTTTGTTTGTTTGTTTGTTTTGTTTGTATTTAGTTGGGTTGTCGATGTGTAATTTAAAAAAAAAAAAAAAAAAAAAATGATTACCGGAAACGCGAGCGAATTTATTGTGAATAATTTTTTTATTATTATTGTGGGTTAGGAATGAGGTAGAAAAAGGAAAGTAATGACTTGTCATTATTTACGTCAGGTGTTCTCTCCTCATGGCTGCTCCCAACATGGCGTCATTCGTAGAAATTTACAAATGTCGGAAAAAGTGTGTGTATTTTCCTATGACCCGATGGATTTTTTTGAGTTCCGAACAGTCTTTCCATCTAGTCTTAAGTGTTCTTTGCCAATAGTTCCTCTCTTTCCCTAAAAATCAACCGTAAGAAGGTTTAATGGAGTATCTTAGGTGTTCCTACCGTTAGGGTTCCATTAATGTCCTAGTTAGATTCCCATCTAAGTAGTGGATGTGATAATCTTCCAATAGTGACCGGAGTGTCGCCACCTGGAATGACAGTTTGAGTTTCTCACCACTTTTAAACCATTTCTGAGGATAATCCTTCTCCATTTCTGGTTTCTCTACCCCCTCACATTCTTCCTGTTATAATGTTAGATCATCCCAGTTAGGGGTAGTTGTCGCAGGAAGACAAATAATCGATAAGATCCAGACCTCGATCCAGTCGATATCGATTGTGATTTTTTAATGTCACTGTCACGGATAAGGTTAAAATGACCTTTAATAAAATATATATATAGTAATCACTAAAACGTCTACACATTTATAAAAACCTATTAGAATGATTATTATTATTATTCTTATAAGGTTTTTTCATCAGGTTATGACACGCAATATTTGATAATTTATGTCTCGTTAATAATGAATGATAATCGATCAAGTATAAATTAATTTAATACTTGTCGAAACTTAGTTTTAATAAAAATGATATTCGTCACGTTTTTTTTTTTTTTATTTGTCGAATCTAAATAATAATAATAATAATAATAATAATAATTGTAAATGTCTGAAAGGGACGAAAGATTTACCGTAAAAAAAAAAAAAAAAAATTTAATTTCCGTTTCGGGAAATTACGTTGAGAATGATTCGTACAATATGTCGTCGTAGGAATGGTTTAAACCGTCGTTATTAAATTTTCAAACGTTTTTCAAAACTTGTCCTTTTTTGTAACGGATATAAAAAACACTCATTTCCGGTAAAAAAATTTTTTTAAATTTATTGGCGATGGGTATTTTCTTTTTTGGTAATAATATGGCAAAAGTTCAAGTGACACACAATTGAATGTATGATAGAAATAATGATGAGGTTAAATGGGATAATTAGGGTTGATTAAGGGATGGATCTTTTTACCCCCATGTGTGTGGAAATAAGATGGAAGTTGTCGTGCCTGAACACGATTAGTGCGTGGTGTGAAGGAATGAATGAATTTTTCTTTCTTTTTTTCAGGATGATAGATGTAAGAAGGGTGGGTGTGTGTGTGTGTGTGTGTGTTTTGTTCTTGTAGGTATAAAGAAAATTAAATTTTAAGGTATAAGGGGGGAGGATGGGAGGGAGGTAGTAGGGAAGGAATTTTGATTGTTTTAATAAGAGTAAATAATGAATAACCGTAGCGAAGATAATAAAAATGAATTTTTTTAAAAATTTAAAATTAAATTTAAATCCGTATTTAGGTATAAAAAGAGTTTGAAAAAAAATATGGAGGGAGGAAAAAAAATGACATTCATGATTTTTGTTTTTTTTTGACACTTTTTGAAACATTTTGTAATTTTTTTTTGCTTTTGTTTTAACTTTAAAATGAAAAATTTTTTGTTTTTAAAAGAGACTTTCTCTCTCTACTTATTCGTTTTATAATGATTTTGTTTTGTTTTGTTTGTCTTTTCAACGGCAAAAACAACATTTCTATTGTTTAAAAGATTTTTGAATGAGAATTGTTGAGAAAAATGAGTTAATTACTCCTTTCCTTCGTTTCATTTCTTTGTACTAATTTATTTATTTTTAGGCTCGTTCTTTCTAAATAGAAAAAATCATTTTAATTTTTTTGTACCTTAAGTTTCGTATGAAAATATTTACAATTTTTTATTATTATTATTATTCTCATCCCCCTTTTCGTTATTTTCCCTCATGCCTTCCATCCTTAATGTATGCACACAATATACAAATTACAATTTTGTACCCATATAAACTTAAGTAATCTTAATGCAGTTCAGAATTTTTCTAATCATAATTTAAATTTTACACTAACACATGGCAAAATATGTTATAATGAAACAAACTGACTTAATAAAAGGGTTACAATCAATAGATTCACACTTGAAATCGGGAGTACTGAGATTTTATGTCCACCTGATACAATAAATTAATTTATTAAACTACCTCCTTCATTTTTATTTTGTGTGGCAGGAGGTACTTAGCTCAACTACTCATAATTAGGTCATAGTTAGGGTAGTTTAAAAATTTTAAAACTGTTTTTTGGTCATTTTGCTCCATTTTTTGTTAGCCTAACGTTTTGGCAAGTGAAATTTAAGTTTTAAAATGACATATTTATCCGTAGTAATCTTATGTACTAAAGCATCTTCCGAGTTTCTTTCTTACCCAGACTTCCTTTTGTTCCACACGAAACCGTTGACCATTTGTAAATTTAATTTTAAAATAATATAATTATTACTAAATAATATAAAAAATTAATTACATCACAATAAACTACACTAAATGACAAAACTTTTGATATATAATTTATAACTAAATCATTAAATAAAACTATTAAAATTAAATAAAATAAGTTGAGTAAACGTTTGGTGACCGTTACACTTTCGCGCCATTTTCTCATTATTGTTGTTGTTTTTCCACACGTTAATTAATTAATTAATTAATTGTCGAGAAGGATTTTCATGGAAGATTTAAATTTTTTTAAAATATTGTTATTAGTATTGTTTTATTTTGTTTTTTTTTTTTTTCATTTTTCTTTCAGTGATGCTAAGGATAATATATTTATTATTGGTATAAAGACAAAGGTTGCAATGAAAAATGATGATTTCGATTAAGGTACTGGATAATATTAAGTTATTTAGCTGGAGAAAAAAAAAAAAAAAAACTTTCTCTTAAAATTTTCTCATTTTTACATATAAATCCAATAAAATTTCCCCCCCCCCATACTACTACTACTATTTACAATAACGAATCATTAGGTTTTTTGTGATTTTTTTTTTTTTTTTAATTAAAACGCTGGAAAAAAAAATAATAATAATAATATTTATTGTGAAAAAAATTATTAAATGATGACTGGAATTTGTTATAAAGTGCGGCCGAAAATTATTTTTTATTTTTTCGTATTAAAATTATTATTACTATTGGATCGAATCGATTAAGTGATGTGTTAAAATTAATAATAATAATAATAATAATAAGTCAATTAAATACATTTTTTTTTTTTTACAAAACTTGTGGATGGAAAAAAAAAATTTTCCAGAATAGTAGTAATAATAGTTTTTTTTTTTTTTTTCCTTATGTGATTACTATTAATAGAAGTTATTTATTTTAAAAATTTAACAATATTTTTTTTCTGTGAATTTTATTATTATTATTATTATTATTATTTTATTTTAATTTAATGTGGAATTTGTGCCATGTGTGAAGGACATAAAAAATAAAATTTGAAAATTATAAATAAAATAAAAAAATTTATTTATTTTTTTTCTTTCTTTCCAGCAGAAAAAAATTGTAAAATTTAATATAATTTCCATATATTTGTGAATATAAATCAAAATGTTTGTAATTATTATTATTATTATTATTATTATTATTATTATTATTATTATTATTATTATTATTATTATTATTATTATTATTATTGTTATTTTTGTTAATGAATCTTAAAGTAAAAAATTTTCTTATAATCAATATGTGAAAAAAATTAAATATTAGTTTGTTTTTTTTTTTTGAAAGAGAGAGGGAGGGAGGGAGGGAGGGGGAGAGAGAGAGAGAGAGAGAGAGAGAGAGAGAGAGAGAGAGAGAGAGAGAGAAAATTCAACGAAATTCTAAAAGTTTTGTGCTAAAATAATACATATAAATAATAATAATGATAATTTTTTGTATATTATTTTTTAAGGCAATCCAAATTTTGTGTTTTTTTTTTTTTTTTTTTTTTTAAATGTATATATATATATATGTGTGTGTGTGTGTGTGTACATGAGTTAATGTATATTAATAATAATAATATTTTATTTTATCATATATATATATATATATAGAAAACAATTGTAAGAGTTTTTTATTTTATTCTCACATTTATAATTATGTTATATTTTATTGTTTTAAAACTCTTACATATTAATTTTAATTATGTTTTTATTGTATTTTATTTTTATAAGTGACTTTCTTAGTAAGGTGACTATGGAGTTTAAATTATACTATTTTTGTAGTATATTTTTTCCTTTTCTTTTTTTCTTTTTTTTTTTTTTTCTATAATTAAATGTACAAATGTGACTGATATATATATAGGCAGATAATTTATAAATAATTCTTATGTTTATTTTTCCTGTCATAGTTGAAAAAAAAAAAAAAATAATAATAATAAAATTAAAAAATTAAAAAATGTACATAAATGAAGTAGGATATGAAAACTAAAAACTAAAAAAAATAAATTAAGTTTTTACATTACAATATTGTTTTATTTTATTTTATTTTATTTTATCCTTAGTTTATAATTATTATTATTAATTTAATTTAATTATTTTTATTAAAATATTTTGATGGAAATAATAAATAATTTTTGAATTGTCATGTTTACATTGCTAATGGTTTTTGACTATTTTATGATGTTATATTTGTTTTTTTTTTTTTTTTAAATGAAGTTGTCTGTCATTTGTAAATATTTTTAAAAATGATTTAAATTGTAGTTTATTTAAAATCATTTACAAAAAAATAAAAAAAGAAAATTGTTTTTTTTCTATCTGTGAAATATTAAAATATTAAAAAAAAAAAATAATAATAATAATAATAATTGGTAAAATGTTTTCATGGTTCTTCTTAAAAATACATGCGTAAAAAAAGGAGCGGAAATTAAAAACTACACTAGCGCCACATGTGGATTAAAATATAATCACAATGCTGAGTTGTTCGAAAAATGGCTTCCAATTGTGACGTGCAGGAGCGTACGAGCAGTGTTAAAAAACAAAAAATCGAATGTAGTTCCTCTGGCACGTTAGAAAATAACATTAAAATGGATGTAAATTTATTTTCAGATAAATTTTCAACTTCTTCGGAAATTTTAAAAGGTAAGTTTTTGTTTTTTTCTATTAAAATATTGTCTTTTATTTAGAGAGGAAAAAAATAAAAAAAATAAAAATGGCCGACACGCAGGAACTTCCTATGTAGGAGCCATTTTGTAGGTGCGGCTCACTCAATATTTAATATATTCTTTTTCTACATTTAAAAGATTCGTTTTGGAAATATTAACATTTAATTTTCATATATAAATTTCGAATTAGAAAATATCAATTATGGTTATGATTGTCTGTAAAAAAAAAAAAAATTTTTTTGGCGGTCAGAAATAATCAATATAATTTGCTATACTAAAGCAAGCCGACTTTCGTTCTCGCGCTATGACCTCCGTTGAACTTGAGTGTTTGTTAATTATGACATAAACTAATGTTATTAAATAGGTATTTTTCACGTATAAATTTTATTAATAATTAAAAATTTTTGTTATACTTATATTTGATTATTATCAACAAGTAAACTTATAAATTTTTGATGAAAAATATAATTTTCTAGGTTTTAACAGAAAATCGTTGATTTATTTGAGGTTAAGTTTCTTAAAAAGAGCGGTTTTATTAGTTTATGTTTATTTAGCTTTTTAAAAGAAAATCAATCTACTGGTGAAACTTTTTATTTATGAAATATAATGTGATATATAATAAGGTAAATTAACATTTAAAATTGTTTTATATTCCCATTGTTTTAAATCAGTAAAATTAATAATTTATTATTTTATTTTTTTATTTTTTTTTCAGAAAGTGTTCAAGAAAACAGAATCGCACCATTAAGTACGGAACAAGTATTAAATGGTGGAGATTCTGGTTTTAGTGAAATTGAAATGACTTCTTCGACAGAGGTTTTATCTGAAAATGCTAGATTACAGTCATTTGAAAATGACATTCAATCTCCAGTTCCAGGTTCATCAACTTTCGATTCAAGGTGTGTTTGTAAAGAGAAAAATCATTTCGATAATAGTTAATTAAGTTTAAAATAAATCTTCTTTATGAATCTTTTAAAATGTAAATTTTTTTTTTTACTTCATGACTTCCAGTATGGAAATACGAGATGAATTAAATGACAACGATGACATTTCATCAACAATATCTGACCTCTCCGGTATATCCGATTTGAGTGGGCAAGATTGGAAGCCGACTTCTGGGCCAATGTCTTGGATTCATCATCAAATGGCAAATGGTGCTGATCCGAGAGATTTATTATTTCAATTAGTGCAAGATAAAGCAGCTATTGCTGCTCTTCCATCTGGAAAAGATGATTTTACTTTGTGGAAGGTATGTTATGGATTTATTAATTTTTATTATTATTATTTTTTATATCACAAAAAAATTTTTTTAAAACGAAATTAAAATTTTTACAGATTATTATAAGTATGCTAAGTGAGCCTCCGAGAAGAAAAAAATTATCGACAATTAACACGCTAGAGGATGCTGTTAATCTGATAAAAACAAGTCAAAATATAATGGTTTTAACTGGGGCAGGAGTTTCAGTTTCGTGTGGAATTCCTGATTTCAGATCCAGAAATGGAATTTATTCCAGGCTAGCTGTCGATTTCCCCGATCTTCCAGATCCCCAAGCCATGTTCGACATACAATATTTCAATAAAGATCCAAGGCCATTTTTTAAATTTGCTCGGGATATTTATCCAGGTGAGGTTTTTCTTACAGTGATTATATTTAAAAATTCAGGTTTATTTAATTAACGGTGAAATCATTAATAGAATGTTATTATTTTTTTGTAGGGCAATTCAAACCATCACCATGTCATAGATTTATTCGCGCTTTGGAACAAAAAGGAAAACTTTTAAGGAATTATACGCAAAATATTGACACACTTGAACAAGTCGCTGGTATCGAAAAAGTCATACAGTGTCACGGTAAGGAAGTAAAATAAAATGAAAAAGAAAAACTATGTAAATTTATTCAGCGCCATTTTTCTAATGAAAATTTTACGCAGGTTCCTTTGCAACAGCATCATGCACAAGATGCAAAAGAAAAGTTCAAGCAGACGATATACGAGAAGATGTTTTCGCTCAAAAAATTCCTATATGTGTAACGTGCGAGCAAGACAATTTGCCAGGCCTGAATACTCAGGATAAATTAGATTATAGAGGTAATTTTTAAGAGTTTTATTAGTCTTTTGTGGTTTAAAAAAAAAAAAAGAAAGAAAAAGCAGTTCGTATTATATTATATTTAAATTTTAGATCTAGTATGTAGAGGAATTATGAAACCGGATATAACTTTTTTTGGCGAAGGTCTTCCAGAAGATTTTCATGAAGCCATGGCTGGAGACAAAGACAAATGCGATTTGTTAATTGTGATAGGCTCTTCTTTAAAAGTTAGGCCAGTTGCTCTTATTCCTAGTTCTATACCGGCGTCAGTTCCACAAATTCTTATTAATCTAGAACCTTTGCCACATTTAAATTTCGATGTGGAATTGTTGGGAGAAAGTGATGTGATAGTTGATCACATTTGTCGGCTGTAAGACACCATTAATTAATTAATTAATTTTTTTTTTTTTTTATTACACCAAATGTAATATTATTGAAATGAATTGTTTTAAGGCTCGGTGAGGAATGGGAAGAACTTTGTTGGAGAGATGGCAAATTAGTAGAAGCCACAGAACTTCTTCCCGTTTCGACAGATGAATCAAATAATTTTAAGTTAGACTCTGAAGCGGAAAATCTTACAAGTCAAATTAATTCTCAAACGGAAATATTTGTCGGAAAAGTATCGAATCAAAGATGCGGGCACACGGTTCAAGAATCAAAAACAGACTGTAATGAAAATTGTCGAAAAAGAAGTCTAGGGACTTCCGATTGTCCCGGAAATGATTCTAAAAGACAGAAACTCACAGAGGAAAAAACAAATGTTATAACACAAAGTTTAAGGGATGTTCGGGTGGGTTCCGTCGATTCCATG